GATGTCAGTTGGCTTCTCGTTGTCAGTGTTGTTCCGAGATTGAGACCATCAATCATATTTTCCCGAGCAGCAGCATCTCTGACCAAGTATGGCAGCACTTTGGAGACATCTTTTAGATACCTATGACTTCAGGGAAGGGGGTCAGACAGAGGTTCCAGAGATGGCGGTATTCTGGACAGCACGTTTACCGTGGACACATTCGTATTATCATTCCTCTACTGATATTTTGGTTTCTATGGACTGAGAGGAATGATGCGAAGCATAGAGGTATTCGTATGGTGGCCAAATGTATTATTTGGAGGGTCTACCGCATGATCTCCTTTCTTCATATGGGAGGACTATTTCGAGTTGAGCATTGGCGAGGAGATGTGACACTTGCACCCTTTTTTGGCATTTCTTTGACCCGTCCTCTCACACCACCACCTATTATGGTTGTTTGGCGCACTCCACCAATTGGATCCTATAAGATCAACACTGATGGATGCGTCAAAGGTGGACTTGCAAGTGGTGGAGGCATCATTAGGGACCACGCAGGATACTGTATTAGGGCATTCTCAGCATCGTATGGCCCATGTTTCATTTTGGAGGCTGAGCTCAGAGCCATACTAGATGGGCTTCTATTGGCCAGAGGACTTGGGATTTCAGCTATCTGGCTCGAGGCAGATTCAACATTGGCTATTCACTGCATCACCAAAGGTGGAGGACCATGGTCAATTCAGGGTATTCTTAGACAGATCAGAGACCTCATCTACTTCGATAAAGACACGGTTTCAAACATCTACAGAGAAGGCAACCAAGTTGCTGATTCTCTTGCTACAGAAGGCTGGAATCATCGGTGCTATCTAGAGTATGGACCACTAGAACTGCCTCGACATATTAGGGCGATAGTGCGCATCGACAGACATGGATTGCCCAGTTTCAGAGGTTCGTAATTTAGGCTATGATTATTAAACTTTTTTATTGTCTAGGGAAGTAGTACTTCCTCGTTATTGCTTTCATTTATTATATTCATTTGTTACATCACTGCTTTTTGGAGGTCAGGTTCATGCCCCCCTCCTTCCGTGTATTCTTGATTTTTATGAAATAAATATGGTTGGGGAACCCTTAACCCCCATCGACCTTCCTTGGTGGACCCTAAAAAGTCACTAAGGATGTGTGGATGTCTTTACCAAAAAAAAAAATTAAAGTAAGTAGCATTCCAGTCCACTATGGGTTGGAGCGTTACAGTTTTTCCACCCAATTGACACTTAACAACAATGCAAGTGCCAAACATTGTGTCAAAAATTGGTGTACAAATAGCAAAGTTCAATTAATAAGAACCTTTCTACATGTACACTGTAACGCCCCGACCTTTAGTGGACCGGAACGCTACATACTTTATTTAGCTTAACTGGTGGTTTAGTAACAAGTGTATATGTTTTAGCGGAAGCTTACATCTTCGGATAATACTTTAAATAACAATTCTTTGAATACTTTAAGCAAAAACACTGAATCATTTTTCAAAACAACAAAATGTAATTTATTTGAAGAAAACATAACTTGTTCCCACATTCTGCGTTATTCAAAACTTTAAAGAAATAACATTGGAAAACATTTCATAAAAATAAATCCAAATCACTTATTCACCGGATTTCCATTGGCTTGTTGCATCACTCTCCATCTTCTTCTCCATCCATGCTCGAGGTAGAATTCCTTCAATTGGTAGAGATGGGATTAAACCTGTGAGTTGGAAAACTCAATAGGTGTCATAGGTGCATTTGTGATCAAGCTATACATTTCAAAATATTAACTATATAACTTTTCATACATGCCGTACCCGAAGGCACCATTTGACATGAAGGGGTATCCCGTACCCGAGGGCACCATTTAACATACGAACATTTCTTCAACATAGAGGGGTATGCCGTACCGGAGTACCATTTTCTTAAACTTCTAGGAAAAATAGTTTTCCTCCTCTCTTTTTCTCTCTTGGAAACTCTTTCTTTAGTATGTAAAAGCTCTTACTTTTGGTGTGAGAAAAAATGAGTGAAATGAGGTCTCTATTTATAGGTAAATATCCCATAACTTAAAGCAAATGAAGGGTCAAATTTCATTTAAGAGAGAAAACATGGGTGCCATTTAAGTTTGAGATTAAATGCTTCAATTTAGTGGGGGTTTTTATTGCAAAAAATGTGGGTGGCCCTTTGAGAAAATAATTGATGAAAATAAATATTTAAATTCTAGAGAAAAATGGGAATTTTCATTTCAAGCAGTTTCGGTCGACCGGTTGTAGTCCGGTTGACATTGCACAATTTTCAATGTTTCTATCATAACTTCTTCTCCCGATATTCAATTGAGGTAATTCAAAGTGCGTTCGAAAGCTATCTCAAAGAGCTACAACTTTTATGTAGTTGTTATTTTCCATATCAAATGTTTCTTATGTCGAAAATGGGTCTCAAATGAGACTAAAAATCTAAAGTATACTTTAGTCATCCAATATTCATCTCCTAGTGCCACTAAGGTGACTAGAATTATTTGGGGTTCTACGTCCCCCATACCTTAATTAAAATTTCGTCCTCGAAATTTACCTTCTGATTGGGCGAATAGTGTTGGATACTTATCTTTGTCTTCTTCTTCTTTTTCCCAAGTGGCTTCTTCTACGTCGTGATGATTCCACTGTATCTTAACCAGCGGAATCTCTTTATTCCTTAGTTTATGCACTTTTCGATCCAATATCTTGATCGGTAGTTCCTCGTACGACAAATTTTTCTATACCTCCAAGGTTTGATAACTCACTGCATGATTAGGATTATGTACATACTTCTTTATCATCGATATATGGAATACATTGTGCACTGCCGATAATTCAGGTGGCAAAGCTAGTCGGTGAGCCACATTTCCGACTCTATCAAGTATCTCGAAAGGTCAGATATACTGGGGTCGTAGCTTGCCTTTCTTTCCAACACCTTTCATAGGTGCTACTTTCAGAAACACTTTATCCCCAACTTGGAATTCTAAATCCTTTATCCTTGTATGTGCATAGCTCTTTTGCTGATCCTGTGCTGCCTTTATTCTTGCACGGATCTTATCGATTACCTCGACCATCCTTTCAACCATTTCTGGTCCCAAAACTCTCTTCTCTCTGACTTCATCCTAATGAACAGGGGATCTACATCTTCTACCATCGAGAGCTTCGTATGGTGTCAT